TTTCTTTTTATGTATTCTAGGTAACATTACTGAGCTACCCTGCACAGACAAAAATCAGAAGATCTGGGACAGAAGATTTTGACCAGTTTTGACAGATTCAGGTGAAATTAAATTATCGAGAGAACTTAACATCTACTTAGGTGCCTAAGTTTCTTTAAAGAAAGTGCTGAGCAGATCACTTCAGGATGCTTTGAACCAACTATCAACATCCGACAAGCTAAGCTCTTTCAAAAATTAGGTACTAAACTACTAGCACAGCTCAGGTGAACTGGGCTTGGGGAAGGGCTGTCTAGCATAAAACAAATTAACCAATGCAAGAGGGAAAATTATGTACTTGGAGTGATGCCTTTGACCCACGCCAAGGTTATTTCCTGGAAATACCCTATACTGCGTATTTCAGTCTCTCCACCTAGTATCTATCTTTAACATTCTCCCAAATGCTGAAAGCTGGTTTTGTCCAGTGACACAGCATCCATAACACAGTGAGCTGTAATCTTGCAAAGACTTTGGCATGCACATAAAGCTAAGCACAGCCTCAGAGCCTTCAGTAAGACTTCTCGCTATGTATAAAGTTAAGTACATTCATAGGTCTTATCAGGATGGTGGCCAAAGATTATAGAGGCATCCAAGCTGGTTGATATAGTCAAGCCTATTCTGTGGCACGTCTATTTTAAACTTGGGTCTTCTGGTTTGTATCTTAAAAGGTCTACACGTCTTAACTGATCTGCAGAACAAATTAACTTCGCAAAGTGAAAACAGTTTAGCCTTGATAAATGAGTATGAACACAAAAGAGCAACTCTCCATGGTTCACATACATCTATAGTCACCACATAAAAGGCAAGGAATTGACTAAATAGTTCTTAATCAAGCAACTAGCTTTACCAGCAAAACACAACAAATTGTCTGTGAAAGTAGTCACTAGCATGCTGACACACAGGCAAGACCAAAACTTTAACTGGGTAGCATATAATAATCTTACTCATAACTATAATTACTTGATTATCTAATTGGATGGAAAACCCTTTTTAACGAATAATTCTATTCTCGTTCAAGTGGTATTTTTCTTAGTATTCCTTAAGATTTAAAACTTGTTAAAAATTGTTCTAAGTTATAAAACAAATACAGCCACATATTATAGACAGCAGTACCGCTACACAGGCATTTTCTTTTCACTTCTGCTTTTTTTTTTTTTTTAACTTTAGGAGAAAGAAACAAAAAATTTTCACCACATTAATGAAGAACAAGCAATATCAGAACAACTTTGAAGGGCAGTGCCTGGCTGCTAACAAATGGGCAAGGATAGCTCTAGCAAGCCAGTTTATAGCCAGAGATATTTAAACTCATTTCACAACACTTGTAAAAATAAAATTAGTGACATAATAGGATAATTTTATACATTTATTTACTAAATTCAAGCCCGGGGCAAATTTAGTCCAAGAAATAAAACAGGAGATAGATTCTCAGGTTGCTTAAGTTGCCAGAGCTCCAGCAAAAGTAGAGCTGTGAGAGTTTACATTAGCTGGCAATTTGCTCCATGAAATGTGCAATTAACTCAGGAGGCTTTAAATAAAAGTTCTCGTGATTTAAAGGCCTTCAAAAAGACACCAAAATTGTGAAATTTAGAAAGAACCCTGATGAACTGTTATATAAATATGGGTAAGACAGAGAAGAGGAAAATGGGGGACAGAGGAATCAAACCGACTGGAAGAGGCATCCAAAAGGATGGGACAATTTTTAAGAAATTGTTTAACTACTGAATCACAGCTTTCATTAAGCTCTGTGCAGAATGGCCACCTCCCAAGAAAAGCCACAGAAAGGAAATATCATTAGAAAGCTTATGACTTTGTGAGCCCACCCTTACATTCAAGGCAGCAAACTGTTGCGTTGTATTGTTGAGCAGGATGTAAAGAGCCTGCCAAGCACAGCCCACAGACCCGCTAATTAAGTGAACTGATTGTGTTTGGTTTGGAACCGTTTGCCAACAAAGGAATGTGTCATGCTGATTAGTGAGAGAAGGGTATGTAATATATGTGTATTCAAACCCTGAGGAGTGCATAACCCAGGTATTCACTCTGTTTGCTCAAGGACTGACAAAAATGACTCTCAAGCAAATAACCTGACCAAAGAGAAACTCCAGCCCTCAAGAGGGGCTCTCCTTTTCTCTCAGCTGTATCTATCTAAAGAAGACCCATCCTTCATAAATTCCTACTGAAGACTGCTCCAGAAACTGCTGAAAATATTTTGGAGAGAAACAACCTCTCCACCTCAAAGCTAACCTAAGAGACCATGAAGATGGAAGGGTAACAGCCAGCTGAGAACCACCTTGGAACTGTAATTGTTCTCTGAGCCTCTCTGACAGCTGTCACTCTTCTCTCCAAAGAGCGAAAAAGGTCAGGGAGGTAGCCAGAAAAACAAATGCCAGCTCAACACAGACACACACACACCCGACAGACACAAACAGACTTCACTTTTCAAACATTCAACAGAGAGGTGAAGTTTGCAAAAGCTGTCATGCACCCACTTTTGAATATTTCTAACCTAACAGCCCAGTTTGCTGGTAGAATTAGTAGCGTGCTCAAAAGTGAATGAGCAACATTCAAAAGCAAGAAGGAATAACATGGTCTTCAGAGCTCAGCTGCTCTTCCCTCCTTAACTCAGCAGCTCCTCCTTAACTGCCAGGGTACTTGGCAGTCCAGTATTAAGGACAAAATGTGAATACTATGCTGTAGACAGCAATTCCAGAAAACTGTGATGGAGAAGGGAATCACAGTCAATTCTCACTGCACATTGTGGGCTCAGAACAGTACAACTAAATCACAAACCTGAGCTAACTGTTTACTCAGAGCTCTGTATGACACTTACCTAACAAGGAAAGCTGAACATTTCATCAGAAATTTCAGGTATAATTGCAAGTCTTCACACAAACCTTTTGTGACTTGCCATTCCATCTGCCACAGGTTACTCTGTACATCTACCTATTTCTAACCAGCCTCCTCACCTTACACTTGGCATTGCAGTGGTCAGCACACCTACCCCAGAAATCTCTCTCATCTGTAAGAGACGGAAACAAACACAAACCCCCTCTATCTGGCCTTCTCCCTCACTGCTTTGCAGCTGATGGAGCTGCACAGTAAGACACACAAGCTCCCCTGTTGGCATGACTTGCCTCCAGCCTGAAGGTGGAAAAGAGCATAAATGCGGAACTGAAATAATCTGGTTGGTTTCACAGAGGCGCATGTGCGCGCACAAGCAGTAATGGGATGAGAAAACTAACTAGGAAGGGAAATGGAAAATGCTGGGGATAAAAGCAAGGTTTAGTGATAAGGAGTACAAAAGGAGTAAGCAGAATGACCTCTGACAAAATAAGAAAGAGAAATATTGGAGAACCTTTCACGCTGATTGTGTTTTAATTAAAATCATTAACAAAGACCGCTGGTTTTGGCTTGACATCAACCACGACTTCACATTTGTGAAACATGAACAAAAGTCCTTTTTGGCTTCTAATTCACATAAAAACAGGAGCTAGAGCAGCTTCTTTTGGCTTTCACTGAACTGCTGACAAATACTATTTGATTCCAGAAAGTTTTAAACCCTGTAATTGCAAGGTACGTCTGATCTCAGCAGAAGGGTGGGGGAACAATATATACCCAACAACGTTTTTGTGACCAAAAATCCCCCAGACAAATCAAATGCACAGACACTTCAAGTAAACTTGTCTTCCCAAGCTCTTACACGTTCTCATCAATCTTTCAGGAATATCTTCAATCGCCTTTTATACAGTCTTAATAGACATCTTACGTTTTATGTCATCTTAGTTTCTCTCTTTTTAACCCAGCCTATCTCACCATGCACCCCAGATACATTCTTTCTCGAAAACCATTTATAGACCTCAGCTGCACACCTTGTTTAGCTTATGTCCACTGCCTTCTCAATGCATTTTTTAGAATTAGAGTCTGGAAAAAAAATGTGCAAACAGTCTTTGAAACTCAGGTCAGGCTGAAAATCCCTGAAGAGTAGTCCTTGGTTACTTGTAATTTAACATCTTTGTGCACGCAGGGGAATCAGATTCTTAACGAAGCTCTTTTAACAGGCTGGCCCTGATTGTTTCCAAAGGTGACTCTTCAATTTTTTTTTTCCCTTCAATGGAACACTTTGGAGAACAAATTAAAGTGACTGTATTTGAAACAGCCAGAAAAGTACTTATCTATGGAGGAATGCTGTGCTGTCAGATATACTGTCTTTCTGTTAAGTTTAACAAAAAAAACCAAAAAATCTCCTTTATTCAAAATCCAAGATATTTTTCAAAAAGAGTAGTAACACTGCTGCGTTGCCAAGTCTGCTCTGATTTCCTGCATTTTGCTTCTAGGTTTTCCATGCAACTCCTGTCCCTGATCCGGCATCCAGCACTCCATATAATGTGAAATAAAGGTTCTTTTGTTTAGCTTAGGACTGGCATATGCTTGTATTTATTTTGTAGCCACTTGAGAATAGCAATGCCATTAAAAAAAAAAAAAAAAATCTTGCATACATAGGCACAGAGGAGTATGCACACAGAAAGCAGAGAATTAGCCATAACATTTCATGGGGAAAACACTTCAGAATAGATGGTTATTGTTTTATAATGGACAATCCCAGCACTGGGCCCAGTGACATCAGATACCGGGAAGATGTCTGTGATCACTCCAGAGAATCCATTTGGCTTTTCAGGACACTTTGCAAACTCAGAAGAGCTTTGGATAAAACACACTGTGTGATGCTACTGAGGATTCTTCCCTTTTTGAACAGCTGTTCTGAGACTTACAGGGCTTTGGGAAGTAGCTCTTCCCATCTATTTCCAAGTCTGCTCGTGGTGGCCTCCCTGGACCAGTAATCTAGTACAGCTGCCCAGAAATGTGCATTAGTGGGATCTAGTCCCTAGTTATTTAAATAGGAGGTTACAAGGCTGAGAATCCACAAGGATATGGTACGCGAGTCAAATGTATGACTGACATTACAGTACCTGCTTGTAGAAATGTCCTCAAAGGGGTAAAGGATTTCTCCATTGTTGCAAATCTCACAGATGAAACCCTTTTGACTACAAAGGCTGCAGCTGTACACATGAGAGGTGGCAAACTTGATCACCTTCCCCAAGAAAGGAGCCAGCTTTCCTTCAATAACCTGAAATGAGGAGAAGACAACATCGAATGAACCCCCCAAAAATGATTATAACTCCCTGAAGGACTGAAATAATATTTATTAACACAGAAATGAAGCTCGCTGCTGGTGGTTAAAACAACAGGAAAGTTACTTCCCAACAATTATAGCTCCATGAAATCACAAGTGATAATAGTAGCCAATGAACTGGCAATGATCCAAACATAAAAGCAAAGGTACTATCTCTCTGTAAGTCTCTACACAGCAATAACATACAAGATTAGCAGTCATTTTAAGTACAACAATGCATTCATACACTAAGGCACAAGAAAGTAGATAGGAAAAGAGTTTAAGGCTCCCGTATTATCATCTGACAGCTATGGATACTGCCTGACATTTATGATTTTCATTTCTTGTTATTTTTTATGCACAAATCGCAGTTTTGTCTTTGTTCCTTTTCCTCCAAAGCACAAGTTTTTTGCATTTTTTTTGTGAACAGAACCCCAGCTTTCCTCCTTCAGTAAGGTTGTGTTTCCCATTGAAAACCATTAAAATACAATATTCCTCCTCACTGCCAAAATGAGTAAATTCTCATATAAACTCTTGCATAGGAACTGTTTTTTCTTCTTCCAGTGTCCAGCTCTCAAATCAAGAAGTCCCTCTGGGCCAGACAATCCTGCTAGACCATTAGAAGTGATTAGCACTCCTTGTGTTGGTGTGAAAAAACTGCCATGCAGTATAGATTAAACTGCTAGCCACAACATTCATCTAAATTTGTGACTCGGTGACAATGCCTCAATAAGGGGTTCTATTCAGGCAAAATACTTTCCATTCAGATCAAACTTCCAGAGACTTTAAGGAATTCTGCTGTTGTAGGGAATAATGAAGATGGAATAAGGCCCTAAGTGTATATTCTTCTCTCCCGGGCTTCCTGTGGTCTGCATGGCAGCCTGCCAGATTAGTGATAGAAATGTGTCACAGGATTTGATAGTGACCTCCTATAAAAAGGAAAAAGAATGCAGTAATTGCTGCTTGAAGGCTTGCACAGGGCTGTGCCCTGAAACCTAAGAATGGGGAGATTTACACTTAACTGTGTGCCAGATTCAGTTCGGGCACCCCTTCCCTCAATATGGTCACACACCACTTGTAATTTGGGTTTAGTGTAAACGAATCTAGAGGAAGCAAAGGTCAAGGCAGAGAAGAACAACAGAGATTTTGGAAGTGCTCCTCCCCTACGTAAAGTAGAAAGGAAATAAATTTGTCTTCCAGGGCGACTTCCTGCCCGCTCGCCAAGATAGCCGCTATTAAAGAGCACAGGTGGAAACGGAGGTGCGCGGGTAGCGCTGATGTTGATGGCACTGAATGGCACGGGCTGAAACGTGCCCCCTTCTTGCTTTCAGCCCCAGCCTGCTAACAACGTCGGCAACAACAGGAAGCGGCAATGTTATTGCTAGTACTGCAGAGAGGACATCTGCTCCTGTTAGAGGAAAAATGACGTTCCGATTGCATCCTGGTATAGGAAGATCCCCTTCAACCAGAGTATAAACAATGCAGAGAAGCCGCTGCATGAAATACAAAAATGAAGCCATAGTTCAAGGCAGTGATATTGCTAACCTTCTAACAGATGGTCAGAAGTTAGTTTAGCTCCCCTAGGCTGGGTTTTGTTTTTCATTTTAAAGGAAGAAATTTTTGCTTGCAGACTCCAGGGTTACAGAGGGTCTGAAAGCCAGAGTTGGGAGTAGGGGAGAGACACGAAAACTGATAGTATTCAATAAACAGAAGGAAAGAAACAGTGAAGCCACCCAGCTAGTGACACAGCTACAATCACCGTCCAAAAAGCCATTTAGCACTAGTAGATGAAATACACATACAGAGATAGTAAAGAAACCACAATACATACATATTTTCCAAAGCATTTTCATGCTACAGCAACCACCTCTGACAGACCACAACAGCTCAGCTTAAAAGGCCAGGCTGAAGACAGAGCTGCAAACCAACTCTCTAAGTCAGTACTAACGTCACTGTCAGCAAGGACTTAAAAGTTAATCGCTGAATTAAAATCATGTTTTATATAATGTAATAAACAAAATTAACATAATCTATTACCTTCCTAAGCACCAGGGGTGAACTTAAGTCTGTACAAGGCACAAAAGGTTTCCTATGCTGAAGAGCTCGCAACCTAAGCAAGACAGACTGAGAGTGGGCAGCTGCCCCCGAGGAGCTGGTGTTATTTGTCCCTATTTATTTATTTATTTGTATGGCTTGTTGTAGCCTGTAGTGGCTTGTAACTCTGGCCACTGCAGACATACGATGAAGATGGTATCTTCAAAGAGCTATGCATGCCAATTTTGCAATGTGAATTACAGGCCATTTTACTGCATTATAGGGGGAAGACAAAATGCAACATCAAACTGATGCTATCGCTATTTTTAGCATCTGTAAATTTTGTGTAATTTTGTTTCATCAGAGACGTCAGGGCTGTGCACAGGATATGACTTTTCCTTGCAGCCTTCTCTCATTCGTGTTTGTAGCTAATAAGTATAAAATCCTCATCTCCATTTACCCTGACAAGCAAAAAGGAAGATTTCTACTTGCTGTCCCCAAGAGGAGTTTCATGGTAACACTTCCCCAGCGAATGTTTTACAGCTTGGGAAAAAAGCGTAGGACATTTAATCGAAGGTGTCAAAACTTCTCCTGTGACTAAGCACTCTCTTGTGACAGCCAGAGGCCCAGGGTCGGTCAGTTTAGACATCCCAGAACCATGATGGCAGAGTCCCAGGATGTTCTCCCAGTTGATGCTGGAATCTGATCTTGAGTTTCAAGGAAACACAAGCGATTAAAGAATAGAAGTGTGTTAAACAAATGTAATGCATTATCCAGATATCAGGGAAATCATGGAGGGAGGGGGTGGGAAAAGACCTCAAGAGGCCGTCTTGGCAGAGCCAGCAACATCTATGTCATTCTTTACAGCTGTATCTGTTTCTAAAGCCTTTCAGTGATGGAGACTCCGCAGTCCCCATGCAGTCTAACACAGCACACATCTGTTCTCACTGCTGGAGTCACTCCTAAGCTTTGACCCGAACCTTTCCTAAGGACATTTCAGTTTACAAAATAAGCTTACAAAATAAGCTTACAAAGTAAGTTTACAAAATAGAGAAACTGAAATCACACACTATAAGCTGCAGAGCAGTCCATCACATTTCATAAGAAATGGAGAATTTTAGCACAAAACTAAGTTAAGAGTATACCAAAAGAACAGAAACCAAAAATTTCACCATTGACTTATCCCTGTAACATAATACAGTCTCAACATGCACCTGCAAAGGCTTAAAAACATATTCCTCCTTCTTTTAAAAAAAAAAAAAAAAAAAAGCACATCAAGCTTAAATCAAAATTTTGCTGAGTTCAGATTCTCTTCTACCTATACAGCACACATGAAGAGCAAAGTCTGTTTTCTAATCCGAATTCTTTGTAGTGCAAGCAATTGTTTCCTTGTCCAAAATTAAGGGTGAAAGGTGACTGATGATGGCACCCTGGTCATCAATTGGGTGCAATGGAGGGTGCAATGCAGCTTTCTCTTCCTAAACTGGTCAAGGAACCCATCCCAAAAGGATTCTGGACATAGGGCCATGCTCTTGCAGTTAGCTTACCACTGCTGCACCTGGAACATATTGGGGTATGCTGCTTGGGGACAACGGGAGGAAAATACTCGTGTTCAGAGGCCCAAAGCAAGTTGTGTCTGAACAGCCCCAGTGTTCAGACCAGAATCACTGTCCACCTCTGTGGATCTGGAAAAACACTTCTCTAAGCTACCACAGGACAGAAAGCCGTGGCTTTGCATACTGCAGCTCCTAAGTGCGTGTCTCGCATTAGGAATTGTATAAAAATACACACCCACATGTACACACATAAAAGACAGGCCCTGCCCTCAAAGCACTTACAATGTAAACCAACAAAACGAACACTGCTTTTTACAGTAACTGCCACATTATTTCCCACCCTAAATGGGGCAAACCGTGTTTTGGAGGAGCCTCCCGTACAGGCTCCCTGCCCCCGCTGCAGAGAGCAGCATCCCCCCAGCCAGGGCACGGCTGCAGGTGCCGGGGCTGCCGGGGAGGGGAGCGGAGAAGCCAGGAGAGCCGGCAGGAGCAGCAACCCGCCCCGCTGCCCAGCCTCCTGCAGCCGGCGCGGGAAAGCTGGGGTGGCACTGGCAAGCAAGAGGGGAAGGCAGAGACTTGTCTGCAGCAGTGGGAGAAACGAAAGGGGTACACAGTATCTGAACACACGCCAAAGGGCTGCTGGGACAATTTTTTTAGATGATTTCTAGAAGAGAGGCTTTTCATACAAGTCAAAGTTATGAATAAAGGTAAATCAAACTTTCTTCTCTGTATATCTTTGTGCTACTGTTCAGTTGGGTAGCGGTATAAATCCAAAGAAACAATTATGCCCTGTATGAGTGAGGTGGGGGGGAAATACGGGGACTGCCGAACGCTAGCAGGCAAGCCAATGTTGGCAACGGCTGCGAGAGCCTTGGGCGGCGGGAAGACACGACACACGTGCACTGGGTTATGTTTTTCCTGATTTAGCAGGAAGACAGAGAAGAGGAAAGTCAGCAGGGGCTATGGTACAAGTTGAAACCCCTTTGGATACATCACATTCATATGATCATGAAGGCAACGTGTGATCAGTCAAAGTTTAACTACTTGTCAGGAGGGCTGCTGGCCCCCAGAGGTTTCCTGATCCTTCTATCTAAAGACTGGAAGTTACTCATAGTTCCCTCGCGCTATCAAGGTGACGTTTCCAGAAACAAGCAGGCAGCCAGCTGTCTCCAGAGAACAAGAACTGTAAAGGCCACAGACCACAGCATCCTCCACAGGCAGAGAAATCCTCCTCAGGGGCCCGCTTATGCACACAACAGGGCCGCTGCCCACAGACAGCTTCCAGGAGCAGCACGTGTTGCCCAGGGGACTCTCCCTGGTATCCCTGTGCCCTGCCTTCCTGACACATCTCTGAGCCCGTGACGC